CCGCGCTGCGGGACGGCCCTCTCGAGCCGCACGGCCGCGGGCCGCACCCTGAGGCTATTGGCACCGGCCACAACCGCAGGGAGTCGTGCGCTGCGGGACGGCGGCGTTGCCGGCAGCGGGGTGCAACGGGCGGGAAGCTGCGCCCTGCGCTGCGGTGTAGCCTACTTGCGGCTATCCCGCAGCGCAAAAGTGCACCCTGGACCACCCGCCGCCGCAGTCGAGGCCAGAAAGGCGTGCGTCGGCCGCACAGATAAGCCTGGCGCAACACTCGATTTCGCGCCCAGCCATTGACACCTTGCCACCCATCGATCTGCGGGCGTATTCGGCGGTCTCTCACGGGCTTGAGCCGTCCTCGACGCACTTTTTCAGGAAAACCGGATAATCACATTCGACAAGAGGTCCGTTACTGGGCACCTGACCAAGCAACAACTCTGCGCGGACGATTGTGACAGATTGCACATTGGGTGTGGTTTCCCGGGGCGTTGGACATAATATGCAAATATAGACGTCCATGACAAAATCAGCCGACCCTGTCGGCGTGTGGAAGAGGCTGTCACCGATGTCGTCGCCATTTCCCTCTTTTCACGAAGATGCTGTTGACGCTGTTCCGTTTGACTCGTCGTCGTCGTCGTCGTCGTCGTCGTCATCGCCGCCGCCGTCGCCGTCGTCGGCGTCGCTCCCTCCCGCCTCTTCCTCGGTCCTCCTCCTCGAGCGCGCCAGCCAAAGCGAAAGCGAAATGCCAAAGCGAAAGCGGAATTCAACAACGTCGTCATCGATTCGAAGGGAAGCCCCTTCCCTTTTCACCCCTTCCCCGCCACAAGGGGGGATGGGGTCCCGAGGGGGGGGGGTCCAGGAGGGGTCGCGGGGGGGTGCCGGGTCAGAATGCTATCCCCCCGAGGGCGGGGGCCAGCCTCAAGAAAGTCCGCAGACGAGCCAAGAGTGCTCACAGAGGCGCCCAAGACTCCGAATCGCCAAACGATCGGTCCAAAACGTTTTGGCGACCTCCAGACGGCCCTAGAAGGCTGCAAGACGCCCCAAGACACATGGAGGAGCACTCCCAAGAGAGCCACAAAAAGGACCATGTATTCATTGTCGCATCTTTCTTTTGAGGACTGCGGCATTCTCGCCTTTTCCGCTTCCCGATTTCCAAAAAAGGCCGAAGAGGCTCCCAAAACCGCCCCAAGACGCTTCGAAGAGGCTCCCGACACCGTCTACAAGGGCCCGAAGACGGCCCAAAACGGCTCCAAGACGGCCTAAAAAGCCTCCGAGACGGCTCCAAGGACTATCCCGACGAGGGAACCCAACGGGACCCCAAAAAACTTCACCAAAGGCCCCAGGGAGCCCCCAAGAGGCTCCCAGGAAGCCACAAGAGCCTCCCAAGCAGCCCCCAAGAAGCTCCCAAGAGGCTCCCACGAGGCCCCCAAACTCACCCCCGCCAGACCTCTTCCTCCCTATGCTGACACTTCCCCGCCCCCTCCTCCCCGTCCTCCTCCTTCACCTGTTCCCCCGACTCCCATCATCCTCGTCCTCCTACTGTTCATTTCCCCCCGTCCTCCCCCTTGCCCCCGCTTCCCCTCCTCATCCTCCTCCGCATCCTCCTCCCTCACCACCTCCTCCTCCTGCTGCTCCACAGCGGACCCCGCGTCCTCCTACTCCTCCTGATCTTCGTCATCGTTTTCGTCGTCCTTCTCGTCTTCGTTGTCGTCGTCGTCTTCAGGGTCCGCGGCACCGACCGTAGCTTTTCCAAGATGCTAATATACACCCCCATACTCAGTGGCGACAGCAGCCATGACATGCATATCCAGATGGACATCCCCTGCTGGAAAGATGAATCTGTACGATGCCTAGCCATATGCCCTTACCCCCCGTGGACGTGTGCATATCATATTCCCATCTCGACGCAGATCCCCCGCTGTGAGCATGCCCGTCATACGCACACTTACCCCATGGCTCGGTGTGCCCTGCCTGGCCGTGGGCGCTTGGGCTCGGCATCATCTGATCTCCTATGGCCTAAGGCCTCGAAAGCTCTTACTGTCGCACTCGCCCTTGGGCGCCTGGCCTCACCTGGCATCCGTGTACGGTTGGGTGTATGTCGCCTCTTGTGGCTTCCGATCGCCGCCTCTGGCCTCGTACGGCATTGAGTGCCGCACTCGCCCGCTGGTGATCGGACTCCGCATGGCCTCATCTGACCTCCTGTAGTTTATGGGGTCGGCCAGAAAGTCTCCTGATGCGCACCAGCGTGGGCTGGTTCCCGTGGTAGTGCCCCTTCGTCGGGTCCTGCGGGCGGCGCTCGCGGCAGTGTCCGCTCCTCGGATAATCCCACCAGCCCTCTGGGCGTCGGTGGTTTAGAGCGTTTCCTCTTCCACCCCTCCCTCTTCCCCTTCGGGGAGGGGTAAACCCCCTCCCCACTGACCTGGACAGGAGGGGCGGGGAGCGGTCAGAGCGTCCAAAACGGCCTCGGCGAGGAAGCCAAACTCATTGATTTTACTATGGTTTTGGCCCCATTTTGGCCTTCTGAGGGGGCAGGGCTAATTAAAGCTCCCCTCTTCTTTGAAGCCACAATCATTGTTTTTACTAGGGTTTTGGCCCCATTTTGGCCTTCTGAGGGGGCAGCGCTAGGTGAAGCTCCCCTCTTCTTTGAAGCCAAAATCATTGATTTTATTAAGGTTTTGGCCCCATTTTGGCCTTCTGAGGGGGCAGCGCTGATTGAAGCTCCCCTCTTCTTTGATCGATTTCCTCCAAGATGGCCCCAAGAAGCGCCCAGGAGGCACCAAGAGGCCCCAAGATGACCCCAATATGGCCCCAAGAGGCCCCCAGGAGGCCCCCAAGAGGATCCCAAACGGCCCAAAGAGGCCCCCCCGAGGCACCCAAGACGCCGAGAAGCCCCTCAGGACGACCCTCTACTCGCCTGGGCGTCGTTTCTGGACGGGCTGGTGGGGATACGCGAAGCGTCTAGAATTACTACCACCCTTCGTCAGATCGCTTAAAGCTCATCGAGCCAGATCCAAGAACTATTGGACTGGACTCGGACAGTGTGTACTTATCTAGTTCGCGCCCGAAGGCAGTCCAAGAGCGCTCCAAGCGGGCAAGATGGTATCGAGACGGCCCAAAAGGTCCCCAAGAGGCCTCCCAGGGTAGCCTTGACAAGCACACGTCTGTCCATTTCCTTCGGGGAACGTATACCTTGAACATTTCTCCACTTGTGTCCGAGACGGTTAGAGAGGCATCAACAATCACTCAACGACTGCCCAGGAGACGCCCAGGAGAGTCCCGAGATATTCCAATAGGTCCCTAAGATGCCCCATGAAGCACCAACAGGCCCTCAAGGAGCTCCCAGGATGCTCCTCGAAAATATCCAGATGCCCCCATGATGCCCCGAAGAAGCCACCCAGAGGCCTTTTATAGCGGCCTCTGGGAGGCCCCCAGAGGTTCCCAAAAGGCCCCGAAGGCCCAAGAGGCCCCCAAGCGGTTCCAAGAGGCCCGACGAAGTCCCCGGTAGGCCCCCAAGAGGCCTCAGGAGCCCCGACCACTCCCAGACGCCCCCAAGAGGCCTCTCAAGAAACCCCAGGAGGCCTCCCAAAGAAGCATATGCGGACGAAGCCGTCGAGAGGCTCCCTCCTGCGCCTCCTCCTCCTCCTCCTCCTCCTCCTCCTCCTCCTCCTCCTCCTACTTCTCCTGACCATCACTATTCTACGCAATGCGCAAATGGCAGCCCCCGCCATCGCAACTCCGCAGGGCAAACGACCACTCGGCCAAACGACATCGACACGCATGTTTTGAGGGGGAGTGATGCCCAGCCGGTGCCAGAGCACAGCCAGCGGCATCCAGAAGAAATCCGCTGCCTTCCAGAGGGCTATCACGACATCGGATAGCGAGGCCAACCACCAACGATCTAATCATAACTGCTCGCATTTCAGCTAATGAACCAGACGTAACGATACTGGCACTGAGCCAGTGCCGTCGCGCGCTTGACCTAGACAGAGGCGCAGACTGGACAGGATTTGCCCCGACAATTTCTGACAAGAAGGGGCGCTGGAATCATCATTCTGGTCCTAATCACTTTGCCGTAGCTGTATACAGCCGCAGCGTCTAGGAAAACCAGTGGTGCAAGCGAAATAGTCCGAGACCGTACTGGCACGAAGCATTAAGCGCGTGCACACTCATCCGGCCGGAGTACCGAGAGGAGGAACAGGAGGAGGAGGAGGAGAAGGAGGAGGAGGAGGAGGAGGAGGAGGAGGGGAGGGAGGAGGAGAAGGGGAGAAGGAGGAGGAGGAGGAGGAGGAGGAGGAGGAGGAGGAGGAGGAGGAGGAGAGGGGACGGCTTATACGACCCCCCCGATTCGTATCAACAAACACCGCGCCCCGTGCCTGTAGGAAAAGCGCGTGCGAACCCCCTGCTGGAAAGGCCAAGCGGCCGAACCAGCTAATCAAGCAACGGCCGACAGCGACACGCAAAGTGGGCCGGCGGAGTGAGCGAAGCGATGAATTTTTAAACCTGACGAACTGGGCTCGGCCAAAATAAGCATACGATTAAGCATGATTAAACGGACCGCAGCAGAATTGAGTCAACTTGTGCCAATGCCAACGGGATTGAACCGGGAATCTGCCAACGACGATTCAGAAATTAATCTCCCAGGAACTGCATCCAAGCCCTCCCCCACCATGGGGAAACCAACAAGTACCGATACCGATACCGCTGCTCCCAGGACCTCTCCCCGGGTGCGTTCTGACCAGGGTTTCGAGGCGAATCCAGCGGAGGCGACGAGGGCCTCACAGGAGGCCTGAAAAAGGCGAAGTGGAATGGAATGGAAGCCCACAAGGGGTTGGCAATGAAAATGCAAGTGGCGGCCCCCCCGCCGCAACCTCACAACATCTGGCCCCCGCTCAGCTGCTCGCTCCCCGTCAGGGCTGCTCCCCGTCAGAACCCTCTGACATGACGACGTTTGCGTCGCGGGTCCGCCGGCGCAACCGCCAGCGGGCGATGGCGGCCTCGACATCCTCCTAACCGTATGCAGATAGGAGCTCCGCCCTGGTCAGAGCATGGGCGTCACGCCGCTTGCCTGCCAAGCTGCGCGCCCTGCCGCCGTGGCCGGGCCAGCCGCTGCCCTGAGGAAGGCTGCGAGGCGAGGACCTCTGGGGCGGGCCCCCGTAGCCGCAAGAGCACCCAAGCGATGCACTGACGGTGTCCAGGATGGCGTCCATCCGAGAGGCGCGCTTTCTGGCACCGCAGCGTCGTGGTGTTTGCCCCGTGGCACGTCCCTGCAAGATTGTGGGCGTACTTCGTGCCGCATGCTCCGCACCGCACGCTTGCCACCACCAGGGTCTGGGGTGGCCGGCCTGGGGCTGCGACCTCAGCGGCCTGGAGCGCATGCGAAGGTGCGGCACGCATGCCAACCATTCCTCGGCGATCGCCGGTCGCGGGCAGCGGGGCCTCCTCTGGAGCGGCACCGTCAGCAGCGCCAGCGACGTCCGCGGCATCCTCCTGCTGCTGTTCCTCCTGCTGTTCCCGCGTCTGGGCCTCCAAGTTGTCGCAAACCATCGTGACAACGTCGGCTAGGACGGCGTGGAGCTCCCCCGACCACCGCGCGGCTTCCCGGGCGACGTCAAACAACATCGGCATCAGCTCCTGCCCCGGCGGGCATGCCGTGGCAGGCTGCCCCGCGCTTGGCCCATACATCCGCGGCCGCATTGCCCACGCGCTCCCAATGCGTGGTCCTCTCGGCGTCGGGACTTGGTGACTGTGAAGTCGCCAGATCCGGAAAAGCTCAAGGATGGCCCTGGTAGATGCGCGCGTTCGTCTCCTGGAGACTCCCCTGGTCCACGTTGGAGGGCAGACGCTGTCCCAGCGCAGTCGACGAAGAGGTCGAGTCGCCCCGCGGCCGCGTGCGGGAGTGCGAAGATCGCGAAATCCTCGCCGTCGCGGCTGAGCTGCCTGGGGCACATCCCCAGAAGCGCTGCCCCATGCGCCGCTGCGTCAGGCTCTCCTCAGCGGTTGCACTGCACGACTGCCCACCCAGCCCGGCTGATGCCAGGAAGACGCCCCACGAAGGCGGAACCGTCAGTGAACAGCATGCCCTCGAGTCGCCCTGAAGCGGGCCGGCTCCAGCAATAGATCTCGAACTCCTGGCAGCCGATCTCGCTCCAGAGGTGTTGCGGGTCGGGGGAGACCCCGCGCGCGAATCGCTCAGCAGCCACGGCCCCCTCGCGCTGTGCCCGCGGCGCCCTCGCAACCAGGAGCGGGGAGGCAGCAGTTCGCTTCCAGCTGGCATGGGCGTCGCACTCCTACACACTGTGGAAGATCGTGCCGGCCGTCGCCTTGCAGAGCTTGCGCAACTTATGCGATGCGAGACCATGGCGCCGCAGCCGCTTTTAGCACCAATGCGTGTTTCCCAGGAGGGCCCGGGGGGAGTTCTGCTGCCGCTTCGTCCAGTTTGGTGCCGAGCCCCACAACAACGGCCGCAAGGCTAGCCAGCTGACCGGCTGCACCCAGCGGAGGTCGCAACGCCCCTCCTTGGTCTCGCACGCCAATGCCATGCAGTCGAAGGCACGCCAGGCGGCGTCTTGGGCGAGACGGCCGACCAAGCCTGGGGCCATGCGCATCAACTCCAATCGGGTACTAAAATATCGGTAAATACCACGGGCTCGTCCTCGAAGCGCCAACCGCACCGCCCCAATGTCAGCAGCGCCGCGTCCACGGGGGAGATAGCCTGCGGCCACGGGTGCCTGAGGCGGTCCAGGCGAGCCTCAGCGTCTGCCTAGCACGCCAGGAGGACTCCGCGCGGCGGCAAGCCCTCCCAGACAACGCGAGCCCACTGCTGAGCCACGGCCCCCGCGTTGATGGCCAACGGATCCGTGCTGATGAGGCGCCGTAGTCCGACTGAGGCACCCCTGGCCACTGGTCCAAAGCTGCGTAGCGCCTGCACCCGAAGCTTGTGCACGGCTGTGGGGGCTAGCCCAATACTAGACCGTGGGTGCCCCACGTGGATTTCGCGGTGGGTCCCCCGCGCTGGATACCATGGACAGCCCCTCCCGCGCTGCGAAAGCTCCTGAGCCCGGACTGCCTGCGCCTGTGCCGCTGCCTGCCTCTCGGCGCAGATGCTGACCCGGCGGCGGCTCCCATCGTTGGCGTCCGTCCCGGGCTGCCGCGCGTGTTGCACTCTGGCCTTGGGACTCAGCGTCCAGCGCGTCGCCAGGGCTGCCTCGACCCGCGTCCGAGACGAGGTACGCGAGTTTCTTCTCGTGCGGTGGTAGCTGCAACGCCGTGAGGCTGCCGATGACCTCCATGGTTGCGCTGCCGAGCTGCGCTGCCACCTTCCCCTCCGTCCCGACCCCCTAAATAGCGATATCGTCGACGACGTTGCGAATGGCATCCTGGAGGGGTTTGATGAGGATGAGCTTCGCTAGAAAAATTGCGCCGGAGCAACCGGCCACGATTGTTCCGGTGGGACGCGCCTTCCGCGAGACTGCGCCGTCCCAGATGACCACCCTGGGGGCCACGTAGATGGTGCACAGGGCCCGCAGCAATGGGGAAGCCCTCCGCGCGCCCCGCCTGCAGGAGGAACTCGTGGCTCACCTCCTCGTGGAACTTGCGGATGTCGATCAACGCAGTGGCTGCCGACATGCCCCTTGGCCCGCGCGTGCCTCTGAAGCACGTTGTGCACCCAGCCCGCGCGCTCGCAGGACTTGGAGCCGCCTCCCCAGAAAAAGCTGCACGCATGAGCCTGCTCCCGCGCCCTGCAAAGGGCAAAGGGGTTGCCGCACCCAGCTGAAGATCTTAAACAGCAGCGGCAGGAGTCCAATCGACCTGACGCCCCCATCAGCCTTCCTCCAGAACACGACGCTGTTGACGAGCATGGTGGCCATCGTGATGGTCTGTTCCGGCTGCGCTTCGAAGTGGTTGAGCAAGTCTACGAAGCGATGCTACGGCTCCTAGGGAAGGTCGAGGATCCAGCGCGGGTGGAACTTGTCCCGCCCCAGGCCCGCCTTAAGTGGGCTTGTAGCGTCGGCACGCGTGCTGTACTTCAGGCAGCGTGATGGGCGGCAGTACATCGCTCTGCCAGCATGGAAATTACCCCTTCCCCCGAGGAAGTGCATCCCAGCCACCCCACATGATTCCACGCGAGGCTGAAGCGGTGCCGCCCTGGCATGGCAGAGAGGGAGGTACTAAAACGATCGCATGAAACGCTGGGGAGAAATTGCCATAGAAACTCCAATTCAAGAGTTGCACATCCGACTACTCTTCTCCCTTGCTTGCGGCCGCGTAGGCAATTTCAGAACTCAAGTGTTTGAGACAACCAAGGCGACGACACCCGTCACCCACCAATTTCTCCACCACACTGCACCTCTGGACTTGTGCGCGCGCGGTCTGCAAAGGCAGAACAAACACCACCGCCGCAATAAGCACCCCGACAAGCGAAGCCGCTCAGTAAACGTACCCAAGGAAAGAATCGAACAGGGCAGGGCTCTTGAGTAGCCGACCATGGCCATGGAGCAAACGCAAATCATGGGGGGTCGACTCGACTCTGTTCAAACCTTTCTGCAGCTGCATGCTGGAGAAGAGCCAGGGAGCTTGAGCGGGCGTTTGCCTGCTTGCGCGCGGCTTGGTGGCTCGCACAAGGCGGCAGGCACGTCACGCAGGGCAGCCCTCCGAGAGGGCCGCCTCGCGACCTACCGGAGCGGCAGTCAGAATAAGACGAAGCCAGGACGAGGATAAAGTCGGATGAAGATAAATCGAGAATATCTGTGAAATCTGGCGGCTCTGGAAAATGTCTCGGGCGCCGCGGGCTTCTCAGAGCGTTGCGGAACGCTCTGGAAGCGTTCCGGAACGCTCTGGATCCGATTTATCCGCGCCCTAGCCCCGTCCAACAGAAGCCCACCCCCGATCGCCCTGCCACTGGCCCCAGCCCGCTCGCCAACTCCCCCTGGGCAAACCAAAAGGCACTGATACCGCTACTCCCTGGACCTCTCCCAGGGGGACGTTCTGACCAGAATTTCGAGGCGAATCCAGCGCTGGCAACGAGGGTCTCCCAGGAGACAAAGGGGAAAACCAGGCAAGGGTGGCAACATCGAACCTTATCATACTCTGACGGAGCGGCGCGCGGTCCGTGATGAACTCGACGTCGGGCATCGACCCCAGCCAGCGCTTCCTCGGCCGGACGCCCGGCGTGCGCGACACGCTTCCGATTGAAGGATCCGCGGACCTCGCCCGCAAGCGCGTATGCAGCCGGGCGCCCAGGCCACAGACGAATCCCCCAAGCGAGCCGCAGGGGAAGGACACGCCGAAGGCGTGCCTGCGCAAGGAGGACAACGACGAGGCGAGGAAGTGGACGCTGAAGCAAGAACATGCAGCATGCACGTACATCATAACCGTCCACGGTGCAACGCGCCAAACGCGCTGCCATCGGACCGCCCGCTGGACCCAGACCCTTGAGCGATTCGAAAACAACAACGGGCGAACGTATCCATATCCACGCCCTCGCGGTCTGAATTCAAAGGCGTGGTCCCGCGAACGCACGGTCGAACGGAAAGGACGCCCCCTATCCGCCGGGTCACGGCCCAGGGGCCCGGCCCGCGAGGCCGCGGATACGGATGTGTGTCGCCCACGAAACCCCATCGCGGATCCGTGACTCTTGGCGCTCTTGGGCCTCCAGGAGAGCTTCTCCTCGCCACGGCGGCACTCCCTTCGGACTCACGGCTCGAGCAGAATGGCGCCGCCTCACCATCGCTGCCAACCCCTCCAAACTCCGTGACTCTTGGGGACGCCCGAAATTGATACGGAAAAATTGGTAATTACGATGCCCATCAACAAATGAACGACGAACAAAACTGGTCTTACGCGAGGTGGCATGGCGGCCTTTACGCGGGCCACCATCGCGGAACGCCACATTGAAGACGAGAGCATTTGCGCGCGACCTTCACGCGGGCAACTTACGTTAGAATGTCGGCGAAAACGGTCCCTTTTTCTTGAGTCGCTCAAGCGGGTACGGAAAACATGGGTACGATGCCCAACAACAAATGCCTCCCATTACCGACACTGGCTGCTGTGGGGCAAACGGCCTCCTGTCTCAAATGGACAACGTACGCGGCGGCACGGACAACGAACCCTGTTCAAAATGAACCGGCCATGCGCTGTCTTGGCGGCGCGCAGAGGGGGGTGGAGGGAGGGGAGCAGGCTTCTCAGAAGGAGGCTGCTACTTAGAAGGCGGCGGCCTTACATCTATACATAAGGACCGCGCCTGCTAAGAAGCAGGGGTGCTTCTAAGAAGCCTTCCCCCCTCCCCCTACCCCCCTCTGCGCGTGGCCGACATTCGCTGCCCGGCCAAGGGGGGGGGGAGAACGGGAGCAGCCGGCAGACGACGACGCACGCGCAGGCGGGAGGCCGGGGCCGGCGGGGCGGGCCTGCAGGCGGAAGGGGGGCCGGCTGGAGGCAGCAGGCGGGGAAGAGGAAGGAGGCGAGGAAGAGGAAGAAGGGAAGAGGAAGGAAGGAAGAGGAAGAGGAAGAAGGGAAGAAGAAGAGGAAGGAGGCAAGGAAGAGGAATGAGGCGGAAGGGGGGCCGGCTGGAGCAGGAGGAAAGGGAAGGAGGCGAGGAAGAGAAGGAGAGGGGAAGCAGCCGCAAGCAGACCAAGCAGCCCTGCCTCTGGAGGGTCCCAGCGGCAGTCTGTCGCCACGGGTCCCGCAACCCCGCGCGGCTCGAGAAGAACGGCGAGGGATGCATGCTCGCTTGGGCGTCGCTTCATGGGGCGGGCGATACATGGGGGAGGGAGAAGGTGCACTTGTCGGGCCCTGAACGCCCCCTTGGGGGCCCGAGAAGGCCCCTTTAGAGTCCCTTTGGGATCCCAAATGGCTCCTTCCTGCAGCCCTCGCTGCCCCCCATGAATCGCCCCCCCCCCCCCCCCCTTACGCGACGCCCAGCCCGCCTTACCACCCGCCCGAGGTCACCCCCCCTTCATACCCGCCCGAGGAGAAAGGAAAAGAGGAGGAGGAAGAGGAGGAAAAGGAGGAGGAGGAGCGGGAGGAGGAGAAGGAGGAGGAGGGGTGGAGCAGTGTCTCCGATGAGAGAAACAGGGGGGGGATCCACCAAACTAACGACCTCCTGAGAAGAACACCTGCCCTCGTCACCCCCACATGTATAGCGCCCCCCCGTGACGCGACCCCCGAGGCTCGCCTCTCCTGGCCGGAGCCGCGCGGCGAACAGTCTGTTGGAGGGCCTCAGCGCCTCTATTTGTGCTGTGGCAGCGGCGTGGTCGCTGCCCCGCCGGGGGGGCCCAGAAATAGAGGCCTCCTGGATGGGGTCCAAGTAGATGGGGTCGGAGGATCGCGCCGCATCGGCGATGTATCGGCGATACATCGGAGATGCATCGGCGACTTCGGCGAGGCATCGGCGCCGTCGGCGTGGAGAACATCAAACTCCACATCGAGCCGCATCGCCGATGCATCGCCGGTGCGGCGCGACCCTCCGACCCAATCTGCTCGTACCCCATCCCGGAGGTCCAGACCGAAACCCCCGGGCCAAAGTCGATCATTGGCAGAACTGGGTTTAGTGGGACCTGGTTTAGTGATGTGTACTGGGGGAGCACCCCCCGCCCCGTTCCACCAACCGGACCTGCCGTCACCCGAACAAACACCCGCTACGGCAGTCCTGGTCTAGTGATTCTGGTAAATCGGCCGTGGACAAACCTTCCTTTAAAAAGCCTCCCCTTAGTGAAAGCGGCCTGGGACCGAAACCGACGGACCTGGACCCGCGAAAATGACGGCCGAGACGCCCTCTCGCGAACCGAGAACGACCAATTCCTTACTCGACGTGGCAGGGTAGGAGGTCTGTCCCCCCCCCTGAGCAAATTTAGGGGCTCCGGGGCCCTAGTACTAACCGGGTCCCCTTACCTGGGGTCTTGGCTATACCCGAGGGCGTGCAGCCCATCGAACGCCCGCGCCCGGGTCGCCGCGCGTCGTCCCACGCCGCGCCGGCCGAGAAGGCACGGCGGACGTCGGCTTTCGGGCGGCGGCCCTCGGCAACCCTCGGCTGAGCTGGGAAGGCACCGTCGCGCAGTCGACGTCGACTGGAGAGGACACGCAAGAGGACACGGGGCCTTTCCGAGGGCCACGTTGCCATGGGAGTGGAAAAAGCATGGGCCGCTGCACAACAATTTTTGATCCGCGGGTCGAGAGCGCACCTCTTCCGGTCGAAGCTAAGCGGGCCGCGCACAGCTTTAATTGACAGAGGGGGGAAGGCAGAACCAGGGGGGCCGCACGAAAAGGCCAAGAGAGGGCAAAGCCCCGGAATCAGGCGGGGGCCGCTGCACACAGGACACAAGGGCACCCTTGCTCCGGCAAGGTCGGCCTACGGATCAAGCTCGACTGCATGTCTTAGTGAGGGGGTCTCCTACAGCGACCATTAGCAGGCCATGGCTGTTAACTTTTTGGCCAGACGAAGCGCCTTGAAATTGTCTAAATTCCGCTGAGCACTGATTGTTGCACGGCCTGTTTTGCCATCGGCTGCTTTGCAATATTCAGAATTCCACGTGGCATTGATTTTTGCCAGGCATGTTTTGCCATGGGGCGATGTGTTATCGATTCAAAAGCGGGGAACCGCAGGCGATGCTCATTGGTACAACGCCCAACAGGCTTCCCCAAAAAACAGCGCACATGTTGGATTTGGCGCGCGGCGTACGCGAGTGAAACAGCAGCCGCTTCTCTAGGGCAGCGCGCGCCTCGAGGGGACGCAAGCTTCAACGTGCGAGCGCGTCCACCGCGCAAGCGCAAACGCTACGACCGACGGGAAAAATCGCCCGCTGCACGGCGATGCGCACACCTGTCGCGACATCACTCGAGAGCGTCGCAATCACATTTGTTTCCGACCAACTTTGAAGACGGCGCCGCGTAACCAAAGCGCGCGCGGGCGCGCCAAAACCGAAGCAAACACACACGCGCACACGCGCGCACACGCACACGCGCACACACACACACACACACGCACGTGCACGTAGCGAGCCAAACCTTTGAGTCGCGGCGGGTACAAGCTAGACCAGGGCGCGGCTAACATAATCAACGGCAGCGCAAACATTTTTCTCTCTCTCTCTCTCTCTCTCTCTCTCTCTCTCTCTCTCTCTCTCTCTCTCTCTCTCTCTCTCTCTCTCTCTCCTCTCTCTCTCTCTCTCTATATATATATGTATGTATGTATGTATGTATGTATGTATATATATGTATATATACATACATACATACATACACTATCATGTTTAAATGGAAACAAAGAGAACGGATCGCGGTATATTGCCCAGCAGGCAGCCCGGAAACGCACCCGAACGGGCTCCGCGCCCCACGGGTGCCGCAAGGAGAATTGTCGAATGCCGACGCGCACTTCCGCGCCGCGACAGGGCCCCCATGCCGCTGGAGCTCCCGCCACCGCCCCCCCTTTCCCATAGTGCAAGGCTTCATCGTCTCAAACGTGCGGGTCCGCAAGCGATGTTGCTTTCTGGAGCGCCAGACGGCTTCCCCACAATATCCGCGCGCATGTTGGGCTTGGAGTTTAATGTGAGGGACGTGAGAAACGCGCAGATTGTACAGAGCAGCGCGCGGCCTGGAGAAGCGCGAACTTAACCGCCGCGCAAGCGGGAGGAGCATTGGCCGACGAACGGCCGCGACCCGGCCTCCGTCGGCCTCCCCAGACGGCTCCAGAAAAATTCATTTTCAGTCGCGGCGCTTACATGTCGGCTTTTACATTGTGGACAATGCACAATTATCCCGCGCGCGGGCGCCGGTGACCCGGCCTCCGTCGGCCCCCTTAATGGGCCCCAGAAAAATTCAGATTTTGTCTTGGGAAGAACACATCGGCATTTATATTCTGGGCAATGCAGAACTAACTCTCCAGCGCGCGCGAGCGCTGGTGACCCGGCCTCCGTCGGCCTCCTTAAAGGGCTCCAGAAAAAATCAAATTTACTTTTGGTAATAATATGTCGAATTTAAATTCTGGATAATGCAGAATTCCCCGCGCGCGCGCGGGTGACCCGGCCTCCGTCGGCCTCCTTACAAGGCTCCAGAAAAATAGAAAAAAACGAATGCGGCACTTACGTGTCGACTTGTAAATTGTGGACATTGCAGAACTATCCCGCGCGCGCGAGCGCCGGTGACCCGGCCTCCGTCGGCCTC